GGGCAATGCAAGATTTTGTGTCATGGCCAGTAAACTGGTGAAAATGGCAGAAGATGCCTATGCTCGACATGGGTATAATAGGTGCCTCATGGACCAGGACGTTTTGAGGGTGGTGAATACTTAGAACCTAGGCTTGGGCTCGAAGGGGAGCGGGGCACAACCATTTGTCCTTGAAGGGTTGATGCCGCCGGACCAATGGTGGTTATCATGTCGGTCGCGCTTCCCATTGCTGAAGGTGTGCTGGTAGCCATCCTTCCTCTTGGGGTGCTGGGTACTTTAATTATCGGAGGCAGGAGCAGAATGGTGAGGTTTGGTAGGGGTGGGTGCTGAAGCAAGTGGGAGATCATCAAAAGTGCTCCGTGACGAGGTGGCTGGCCACGCTTGGAGTTAAAGTACTCGGTCTTCACATGGACTGCTGCATGCTTCATAGGTTGCTATGGACAAGATAACGAAAGTTGGATTCATGCAAACCACTTTTGAAAGCTCCGTAAGTAACCCAGTCATCTGTCTCTAGGCAGCGGGAATATTCGTGATTGAAGCGGGCGGCATATTCCCGAAGGGGTTCGTCCTCACCCTGTCGAAGCATATACAGATCGTCTGCGGAGTATAAGCGATCAGTTTGGATCATGAAATGGTCGAGGAAGGTTTGCTTCAAGCTATCAAATGAGTTGATAGTACGGGGGTTCAGCCGATAGAACCAGTTTAGAGCAGCGCCACTAAGGGTAGAAGGGAAAATGAGGCACATGCCTTCGTCGCTAAGGCCCTTGCATCCGAGGGCGGATTGAAAAGAGTGGATATGGGTGATGGGATCCTCCTTGCCCGTGTAGAAGGCAATGCGGAGCGGCTGAACGTCCTCCTGACGATAGTTGAGAATACGTTCAGTGAAGGGGTTAGGGCGTGGTTTCATCCAGAGGGGCTGATGGCTACGGAGCTGCTCACTCTTAAGACGTCGGACCTTCTCAAAGAGAAGCCTTATGACTGGGTTGGCATGAGGGAGAACACCGGGTGCTGAAGGCTTGGGGTGTGGGTGGGTATGGGTTGGGTAAGCTTCCCACTCCTTAAACGCTTCGGTATGGTAAGACTCCCAATCTTCGGGGTGATAATGTTCCCAGTCATCCAAGTCCCCTGCACCTTCTCCAGTGGATAAGTGGGTGGGCTTTGGTAGGGGCCCTAGGTGTGCCACCCATGGGTCGTCGAGGTTGACAGGGATAGGGATAGGCTTTGGCCAAAGCTCTGAGATACGGTGCCTACAATCTTTGTAGATTTTGGTCGGGATATGGGGTCGATCCTTCGGTGGGAAAATGTGGAGAAGTTGTGATTTGGTCGCCTCTAGATGAAGGTGGCCCTTGCCCTTGCCAAGCCTAGACTAGATCGAGGAGCTATGACGGGAGATCACTGGCTGGTTCGACTGGGTGTGTTCAACATCCTAGGTGAGGTCCTGCTGGGCGCCTTGGGGGTGAGTCTTTTCCCAGTTACGCTTCAGGGCATGACAATCATGTTCCAGCTCGACATTCTTGGTATGAAGATGTTCGTAGTTCTCCGTCATCTTGGCCATACTGGCACGAAGGCGCTCCACCTCCTCTTGGAGATTCCCCTCAACCAAAGGCTTCTTTCTGGAGGAATCCCCACGGGGGGTGTGGTTCTGGGTATCGTGGCTGTTCTTGCTCGGCATGGCAGAGGGTGGGGAGTAGAAGAGGCGACGGGGCTTGATGGGGGAGGGAGCCAGTGGGGCTGGTAGAGGGAAATGGGATTCAGCAGTTGATTCCCACAGACGGTGCCAAATTGTTGATGCTCTTTTTGGGAGGGTCAACTTAGAGAAATGACCTTCGGGGTTGGAAGAACCGGCAGAAGATCAGGAGGAAGAAGCAGTTGTGAAGCTTTGGACACTGGTGTGGTGCCTGCTGAAGACTCTCTGATGCTTAAGTCAGCGATATGTGGTAATTTGGCAGAGTAACCTTTAAGGTGAGAAAACAGGTACTCTTTTTACTTGGGCACTATTCCCTACTTGGGCACTCTTTATATGTGGGACTTTGTGCAAGTTGCTGTGGTGACACGTGTCCCTGGAATTATGTTCGGCAGTCGGGAGCTTCGGCAGGATACTGCCGCTTCAGAAAAGTGTCTACCTTCGGCATGTCGGAAGGTGATGACGTCAGTCACTTTCTAAGGATTTGTCTGTGTGTCCCTTTAAGGTATTTCAGCAGGGGAGAAGGCGTGTATGCCTTAGTGCCAGTCATTTTGATGCCGGATATGCTCAGTTGATTATGGTGTAAACACATCTAACAATGATGTCAACACCTCATCGACACCATATCTTTTGTTTTTGGTAACAATTGACACCCTATCTTTAGTCCATGATTCGAATGGATGCCATGTGGAGAGGAGAAACATAACTGTAGATAATCAAATAGTTTAAAAAAATTTGATGACATGAGCTCATGAACACTCCTGTTTTTATTTTTAAAATTTTTTTAAATTTTTTTTAAACCCCAATAACAGGTATTCCGGTTACCCCTATCAATGGTGTAGATTAGCCCACATCGACTCATTTTTCATCTAATGGTCTATATCCTTTGAGAATTTATCAAAAATAGCCAAAACTTGACCTCTAATTTCAAAAATGTCAATTTTTATAAAAAATTTCAAATATAGCAAAAAACTCACTTAAATAGACACAAATACCCTTAAATTTAAAACCCTATTATTTCTGCCATTTTATATCATTCATGATTAATTTCTTTAAAAATTTTGGCAAGTTTGCTTTTTCTACATATGATGGCTTTTGCAATCGTTTTTATTTTCCATTCTAGTTCCTTTGATTCTTTTAGTTTTTTTTTTGGGCTGCAATTGCTGGTTTAACTTTTCTTTTTTCTTCAATTTAGCTCCCAAGGTTGGGGCACCATAAGCTATTAACTCAATCCTAAAAACACTAAGGGCATGTTTACGTATCAGTAATAGGTATGGGAGGAAATAGAATGATTTCTATTCTTGACTTCCCTTGCGTTTACTTGCAATTAGTAATGAAAAAATAAGTGGGCCCTACCTCAAAATCAGTAATCACATCCCCTTAAAACTAGATATTAGATCAACTAAGAAGGGGTAGTCGATATGATTCTCATTCCTGTTTTCTCTTATTAACTTCCAAAAATACCCTTACCACTTTACTTTAATTCCAAAACACCCCAAAACCTAAAAAAATTAAAAACTCACACCAAAAATAAGTTCAAAGACGCTCTAAGGTGTTATTGGAGTTTATTTTTTTCATTTGAAATTGGCTCTGGACAAAGGTGTTATTAACATTATCATTGAACTAGGATCTTACTGTTCATCTTGTTCAGCATATTGATTCCTCATGTTTACACCGCCTTACTAGTTTGTTGCGGGATTAGTTTGGTCTCATTAGCCAATTTGAAAATTATACATGTGCTGTGGTGAAAATGTGCAGGGCATTTTAGTAATCAAATTAATTTGGATTCTGATTTATGAAAATTAGTAAACAATAACAATGGGAATCAACCTCATTCCTTTGCTAATTCCATATGTTTAGTAACCAGTTTAATGGGAATGATTCTTTCCATACTGATTCAATACTTCCCCGATTCCTAAATTCTCTGATTCCTTACTTTCTCCATTACTGATACGTAAACATGCCCTAAAGTTATTCGTAAGGGATTACTTTAATGTACAAAATCTTCATTTTGGACTTACGGCTTATAGAGTTTGGTGCCTAGGATTAGATTGAATTGGATAAGTCACTAAATCTAAGGTATATTGAAGGATGAAATGAAAGTAGAGGTGAATGACTTTCCAAGTTTGGGGATTAGGAGGGATTAGTAATAAGGTGTCGTTATCCTACCATTTTATCGAGATTAGATAGGATAAGTTTTCTTCATGAGTAATCCATCTTCTACTTTCAACTTGATAAAACCAAAAAAAAAAAACAAACAAAAATTTCATTTTTACCTTGAACATGCTTTAACCATATCGAGTATTCAATCCAATACTAGTCACCATTAAAAGGATAGGTGTACTTGTCAGAAAACTAGGTTTAAATAGAGGCGCAACTTAACCGATTTGGGTTAACGGTTAAGCTCCAAAAGTCAGGAGCTTCTTCTTTCCTTCATGTTGCTGCTTTGATCTCTAGCTGATTAATGATTTGTTTGTGCCCGAGACTCCCAACAATTTGAAACAAGGCTAAAGGGCTTTAGACTTCAATTATGTTTTTGTGTTTAAAAAATTGGATTCAAATACAATACCGAACAGCCCCTAACCATCGGGACCGGTTATGTTTCTTTGTAACATTCGAAAACTACCCTCCTTCAAACCCTGCGTTTCCAACCACTTAGCTGTTTCCAACCTTTCTAACCAATATGCCTTATTTCTCTCATTTACAACCACATTTCAAAACAGTATAGTATTTCCAGCACCCTCTTTTGTCCAAAGCCACTTTTTCCTTTTACCTCCACGTGATCTCTTCCTTAAAAACTAGTTCTTCAAATTGTATGCTTAATCTTATCCCCTCTCCCTTCTTCCTTCTCCCATTCCTCCAATGAATACAACACGTTTATCTTTCCCTCCACTTTCTTCTTTGTCTATTGTGCATCCCAAACTCTCTGCCACTCCTGTTCTCCTGTAATTCTTCAAAAAAACTTATATCCTTCCCAGCCTTGAATGGATTCACAACTATTTACCGTTACTTGAGACAACTTATTTTCTGAAGGAATCATGTTCAGGCCACATGTTTCAGATCCCCCCCTTCCCCCCACCCCCGCGACAGAATCAGACAAACATCCAAACCAATCCCAGCAAGGACACGAAAAAATTTGTCCTGTGCTCTATCCATAAATAAGTTAGCCAATTCCCCCTTTGAACTCATTTACAAATGCGTTTAGCAACAGTTTTCAAACTTCCAGTGGCCCTATCGGGTTAACTATAAACTACAAACAAATATTTCGATGTAACAAAATAAAAACGGCAACTGCATCCGAACAAAAAGCAGTACATTATAGCTCGACAACAGCTTTCTGCATACTTCGTTATTATAAACTTTGCCATATGTAATTGTAAAACATGTTACAAGGACTATCAAGGTTACATGAGCCTAAAGCAATGATAAATTCATAAATATTCTGCACAGTATCTTTCCAAACACCATTTGAACTCCGTAATACATTACCTAGTAAAGAATGCTTTTGTGGAGCGTATATTGAAAAAAACGTACTCCCTTCTGGATACTGGAAAATTAAACTTCGCCGTTGTTGTAACATTTAGCTATTAATCTTAAGTCTACAGACCCACCTTTCAGACAGAAGCATGGAATGGCATTCTCACTACCAGAACGTTCATTCATAAATTCGCTTCCTCTTCAAAAGGGTTGGAAATATAATCACAGAACCAATAAGGAAAAGCACAACCAAGGTTTTAAAATCATAGAGATCCTTGACTGACTTGAGTTCCCCAAGAGCAAGGCCAGCCTAAAAAAAAAAAATCAGCAGCTGTCAGTTACCTAGGAGAAAACTCATATATTAAACTTGAAAAGCAAATTTCATATGGTCAAAGCCGTTCGGTGTAAACCATACATTAAAGAGAAGAAATGAACTTGTGAGAATGTGAGATGAAATGTCATTGAAAAATTAAGTCTTTAGAAAAAGAAAAATGAAGAAATGCCAACCAAACTTTTTACAATGGCATCAGTTGCTCCAGTTATGTATATCTTAAGTTTTTAAATGTGGACCAGAAATAAAAACCTCCAAATTTCCAACAATTCTGATACCCTCTCTACAGGCAGCAAAGCAATATTTTTCTATTGAGTGAGTGCATCAAACAAAGTGGCCAGAAAGCACGGTATACAAGTTAAATGATGAAATCAAACATCTAATCAACAACAAAAACAAAACATTTAGTCCGTCATATTTTTATGACGGATAGGGACAGCACCACATAACGATCAGCCATCAATTATTCAAATGACTTTGCTAACCTCCTTCAGATTTTTGACAGAATATAAAGCCTACACCACGATCAGATGACCCAGATCAGCTTTAATGTGTGTTACATCCATAAAAGAAAGACTATACTTTTTTTTAAAGGTTACAATCTCATTTCCAGTCAGGGGTGGATCTATTAAGGAGTCAGTGAAGGCACTTGCCTCCCCTCAGTCCTGTTCTACACCTATGAAGGTGCCTAGTTTTCATGACATTTTGTGTTGGATGGGAGAAAACTGTTTGATAAAATGCCTCAAAGAAGGCTAAGCCGGGGCAATGGAGCAAAGGAAGGGCTGACTTGGGCTGCAGTTCGGCTTGGGCAACTGCTCTACTCCTTTATTCTTGTTTTCTTCTTGTTCTCTCCACTAACTATTCCCATTCTTCTCTTTGTGCCTTGCAATAGAGAAATTAGGTAGAAAGGTGTAGAGCTTATATCTAATCTGTGCACGGATATGTTTATATCTTCACTATTAGTCATTTGGTAGTATTGTTTGTTTGTCCCAAAGGAAAATTACTAGATCTGCCACTACCAATTACACTTAGTCTTCCAATTTTCAATATTTCAATCCCATAGATCCAAAGGGGCACACAAGGAAGGAGCAAGGACATCAATTATTTAATCAATAATTCAATCATGACAAAAATTTATCTGGTAGTTCTCTTGCAACCTTTTTTTCTTAAATTTCTAACGTTGTTAAATAGACCAGCAATAATCAACATGTGGCGTACTAAACAATGCCTCAAAATCCAAAACCTCCAAAAACATAACAAAACAATGAAGCAAAATTCTGGCCACAACTAATCTAAGCAGTGGGCACTATTCAACGGTTTTTATTGCACAGACGGATTATAAAAATTCTTGTCAGCACCAAGCACAGATGCGGAACCAAAACAGGAGACAATAAATAACCAAAATATTGTAAGATGAAAATAGTTACATCCAGTTTAACAAAAATAAAATTAATCCTTTAATTAGTATAAAGAACTTACTCGGACTGTGATATAAGATGCTGGAATAAGACCAATAAAAGTCGCCAGAAAGAAAACATGAAATGGTATATCAACAATTGGAGACGCCAAGTTGATAAAAAGGTTCGGCAATGTTGGAGTTATCCTCAGGAAAAGCATGTAATTCAGCAGCTTTTCCCTACGCTTTGCAATCTGAAGGCACCAAAATTAAGGTTAAAGCAGCAGCAGAAGGATAGCAGTGTGACCAAATTCAAAGACGTAAAAAGAAGTACCTCTGCCTGAAAAAATCTCAACTTTTCTGGCCACAACCAACTAACTAAAGGCCTGCCAATTAACTTAGACAAAAAGAAGCAGGATGATGCTCCAGCTGTAGCATTAAAGACAACCAACAGAAGGCCTCTCATGACACCAAAAAGAGCTCCAGCTAGCAATGACATAAAAATTGTTCCAGGAATCATAAAAGTCTGCATGAAGATGTAAGTAGAGCAGTAACCCAGAATGAATTGTGCCGGATAGTCTTTTGCATATGTTGCAAGATGATCTCTGGAGAAGATTATCAAAGCAAAAATAAAGATTCAGACCAAAGCATTCAGGGAAAGTAACCAGTGTTACATGGGGACCATAGAAACTACATTACTGGAAAAAATATGCAGATCAAAGGAAATCCATGACATGATTCGAAGGCATAGACTAAAACTGTGTTCTACCTCAATGGTATGCAATGTGCAAAAGTTAAGTGGAGCATAGGTAGCATTTATTGGTGCATTCCCAAATGGATTCACGGATGTGGAGTGGCTGGTTGTAATGGTTGATTTACCTTCGGTTTTCGTCTACTCATTGGAAACTGAAATCACTGGATTTGGTCCCAATAAAGGAGTGTGAACATTTAGAGATGCGTTCTCCTGGTCATTCTTTGGGTTGTTTGAATGGGGAGAAATGCAAGGATTTTTAAAGTAAGGAGAAAAGGGCTAGATGAGATTTGGGAGTAAATTGCCCTTTAGCCTCTTTTTAGGCTTCCCTCTCCGAAAATTTCAAGGGAAACCCCCCGCCCCCTTTTTTTCCCTAAATTCTGGGGTGGGTGTCTATGTTACTGAAGGTGTAGTTTTTAATTAACTCCTGCATGCTTGATGGTCTATTGATACTTTTGTTTCCTTTGTTTTAAGTGGAGGATATCTCATCGTCCCATGTTCCTCACCTCTTCCATGATAAAATTTATTTCTTGCCATACAGAAAAAGAAAACTTGCACGGATCACAATCTGCAGCAAAGGAATGGATTTCTTTTAACACTAGGGGTTATAATAGGGAAGTTCATGGCAAATATCACAAAACACAATCAGCAGCATAGGCATCAAAATTGAGATATCATGAGTAGGAAACTATTCTTTTTGCAAGACACAGATGTAAAATTTCTGTCTAAACAGAAAACTCCTATATTCTCATTCTACGATAATTTAGCAAGGTCAGCAAGAGGAACCTACACATCTTAAAAGCTTTAAGTCAGGAAATGTTTGTTAAGTGTGCCTGTGAAACAACAAACTAAAATTTGTCGAGCCATGGATTCTCCAGTAGTGGAGTTAAATGAGAATTCTTTGGTGCAATGGCTAAAAGGAAGCCCTCAATTGCAAAAGGACTAGTAACTTGTTTCATAACTTCTATTTGAATTTTAGATTATCAGAATCTTCAAAGGAAAACATATTGAGGGGAAAAAAACAAATCAAGGTTATCTGACAATCTCGTTGGAGCCAACGCAAGTTAAACAACATATTCCTAACGGGTACCTTGTTCAAACGCACATCTCTAATCTTATTTTCTTGCTGTATATAAATCCTTAATAACAATAACAAGTATACACATTCAGAAAAAAAAAAAAAACAAGAAAACAGCAAAACGGCCCACTACCCACATAATCAAACCTTCCACAATTATTGAATTACCCTAGACAAAATCTCATAACCCTTCACAAGAAACCCAAACCATAATGGTTGAATTGTAGATCATGGAAATGAGGAACGTACTTGAGCAAGCGAAGATCGGCAATGGTGCGCGGCAGCTTGAGTTTACCATACTCGGCGGTGGGCATGGTCAAGTAGACGCAGATGAGGCCGGTAGAGAAGACCACGAAAACGCCGAGAGCCGCCGCGAACTCCCATCGCGTCAGCGGAAACCTCTCGGACTTGGGCTTCTTTCCGGCGGACCAATCGTCCTCCTTTGCACTCTCCTCATCCCTCAGCAGCCTCCCCGCGTCCCCCACCAGATTTCTTGGAGCCGCCATGTACGGATTGCGCAAGCACCGATCCAAAGATGAGGAGGAGGGCGCACTTCAATAACAGCACTCATTCATTGACAAGTTTTGCGTTTTGGTGCTGAGAAAGTTCAGAGTGAGAGTTTGAGACCTCGTCCAATACCAATCAGCCGATCTGCTATTGAATGCTCACATGGGATGAAATTTTGGATTGAAATTTAGGGATCGAGAATTGTTTTGGTTTTGGGTTAGAAGAATGAAATGTAGTTTAATTTGAGAAGTCAAAAGGAAAATCACAAAGGCAAAGCCAAAACTATTAAACCAACAAAAATGAAAGTTTGGAAAGAATGCCACAAAGGAAGTAGATGGATCGGGAAGAAAATGAACAAAAAGCAATGCGTTTTAAAAAAAAACTTTTTCATACAAAAAGCAATGCGTTTGAGTTTGAGTTTCTATTTACGCTAAATGACCCGTTTTAACCAAGTGAAAACTATGTCCCGTTTGATTCGGGGAAAAAATTTAATTGGAAATAATTTCCTATGTCTTTTTTAAAAATGAAAAACGAAAAAAAAAAATCTCATGTTTGATAATTATGGGAAAATAATCAGGAAATACACTTTATTTCATTTCACATGTTTAGTTCGTGTATGAATGTAAAACAAAGTTTGTTTAATTTTTCAATTATACCTATATTTTTTTGAAAGGAAAGACTTCATTCAATTAATCAACATGACAAAGGAATGTCGGCATGGGTAGTATGGCCTCATTAAAACCTCCCTAAAGAAAACCCGATGGGAAAAACTTCAGGGGAGGAAAAAGAGTGCCACATATGCCCGATTACACATGAAGATATTAAATCAAACGACAGTAGGCTCGTGCCAATCATCATAAACAGCATCCATAAGCCACAAAGGACCCACATCCAACCAGATCGACAAACTTTGATCGCGCAGACTGAAGCGGGCAATGCGATGGGCAGCCTTGTTCGCTTGGCGAGGAACATGTCGAACAGCAGTAGACGCGGACCTGACCAGAAGGCGTCGCACTCCATCCACCAGACCTCCCTCAGCAGCAAGGCATTCCTCCTCACTGTTGACCATAGAAACTGCCTGCAAGGAATCATATTCAATCTCCAGAGGCAATAGAGACACATCCAACGCAAAAGAGATTCCAACTTTAAGAGCATACAGCTCTGTTGCTAGTACAGAGATCCGACTTGGTGCCCGCATAGCTAGAGCCCCAACCAGATTTCCATGAGAGTCACGGACGATGGCACCAGCTCCCCTAGCTCCCGTCTCCATGTCAGTGGCCCCATCCACGTTCAACTTGAAACAATTACCCGTAGGAGGCCTCCATTTAATATCACGAACCAGCGAGGATAAACTCCTATGATTGGCAGCAGAATATCGTTTAAATTCAGCATCATAGTCCTTCGCTCGTTGTACCAAAACTCCGGAAGGGGTGGGTTGAGAGCCAAACAGCACCCCATTACGTTCGTTCCACAACACCCACACAGTAAATGCAAAGAGGGACTGCTTATCAGGGGGAATAATAGACCAAGCTGCATCCATCCAGGTTCCAACGTCAGCTACAGTAGGAAGAAGGAAATCCCTGGGAAAATCTAAAGCCTCCCACACCTGCAGACAAACAACACATCCAACCAACGCATGCAACGTAGTTTCTCTCGGAGCAAAACAGCGACAACAGACCTCCCCCTGTGTAATCCGACGCCGGAATAAGACCTCCTTGGAAGGGAGGATATCTTGAGCCACACGCCATAACAGATGAAGGATTTTTTGTGGCACTTTCAGCTTCCATAGGTGCTTCCAACTCTTCAACGAAGAAGAGGAAGGGCCAGCGACGGTCCCTGCGGACAGCTCCTCCAGCCTCTTGTATTCTAGAGCAGCCCAGTACCCACTCTTAACCGAGTACCTTCCATTTTTAGTAAAGTTCCAGATTCTCCGATCCAGATTATCACCCATTAAGGGAATAGATAAAATAGCTTCAGCTTCTGGAAATGAGAAAGTAGCAAAAACCTTCCCAACATCCCACCCGCCACTAGCGGTAAAAAGATCACAAACTCGGGAGGTAGCTGGAAGAGTAGGTATCGACTGGATAGTGAAAAAACGATCATAAGGCACCCATGGGTCACCATAGATATTAACCAACCGGCCATCACCAATGCGCCACCTTAGGCCCAACCGGAGCAGATCCCGCCCCCATAGTAACGACTGCCAAGTAAACGATGGAAGGGACCCACTCGAAGCTGCCAAAAAATCAGAATTTGGAAAATAACGAGCCTTAAGCATCCGGGCAATCAGTGAGTGAGGAAATTCCAGCAGCCGCCATCCTTGTTTACATAGAAGAGCTTGATTAAAACTTGTCAATTCCCTAAAGCCTAGCCCCCCATCAGACTTGTGTTGGCACATAAAACTCCACTTTTTCCAATGAATACCTCTACCATCATTTTTAGACCACCAGAATTTGGCAATGATACTCTCAATCTCACGGCATAACCCGACAGGTAATCGAAACACACTCATAGAATATGATGGAATTGCCTGACATACTGATTTGATGAGCACTTCTTTCCCGGCCTTAGACAGAAGCTTACCTTGCCAACCATTAACTTTATTCCAAACTCGATCCTTAACCGTACGGAACAGTTTTTTCTTATCCTTACCGACGATAGTAGGGAGGCCCAAATACCGCTCATGACAAGGGACAAGAGTCACGTTCAACAGCTGACGAATGTCGTCCTGCAACACCCTTGGGGTGGAAGGGCTAAAGCAAAGAGCGGATTTTCCAAGGTTGACCTTTTGACCAGAAGCCAACTCATACACTCCAAAAATACGTTTAAGCTCTAGGGCCTCAGTTGTCCCAGCATTACAAAACAGAAGGCTGTCGTCAGCAAAAAAGAGATGGTTAATAGAAGGAGCAGAAGGGGCAATGGAGACACCATGTAATCTAGAATCCCTCTCAGCCTGCTGGAGGAGAGCAGAGAAGGCTTCAGCCACAATAAGGAAAAGATACGGTGATATAGGATCCCCTTGCCGTAAGCCTCGAGAAGGGATAATACGCCCAAATGGCCGCCCCTGAATTAACAACGAATAAGAAACAGTAGTCACGCAACCCATAATTAATTGAATAAACCGAATTGGGAAACCCATAGTCCGTAACATCTGCTCCAAAAATTGCCATTCAACTCTGTCATATGCCTTGGCCATATCAAGCTTCAAAATTAATTTCTTTTTGCCTGTTTTTCCCCTTCTCTTCAGACAATGGACCGTTTCAAAAGCTGCTAAGACATTATCCAAAATCATACGGTTGGGAATAAACGCACTCTGGAACTCAGAAATAACCTCAGGTAACACCTTCTTCAGTCTATTGGCAAGAGTTTTGGAGATAATCTTGTAGAGGACATTGCATAAACTGATAGGACGATATTCCGAAACACGGGTGGGAGAATGAACTTTCGGAATCAAAGCCACCAACGTATGATTGAAATCGTTAACACCATCGCTACCATTTAAAACTCTCAGACACAAATCACTAACCTCCGGACCCACAATACTCCAATATTTCTGATAGAAGAGTGCAGGCATACCATCTGGACCTGGAGCTTTTGTCGGGCCAATAGAGTTAAGAGCTACTTCGATCTCATCCCTAGAATACGGGAGAAGCAGATTATGATAAGAACGTGAGGACACTCGCGCTTGGACAGCACTAAAAACCTCCACATCAGCAACTCCCATATCCGATGTGAAAAGATTTGTAAAAAACTCCACAAAAACTCCACCTATTTTATCATATTCACGCTGCCAACGATCATTTTCATCTAGTATCCCTACTAGGGCATTTTTCTTCCTGCGACTTGTGGCTTGCTTATGAAAGAAAGAGGTGTTACGGTCTCCATGCTGAAGCCAATGGACCCGCGATCTCTGGTGCCAATAAATTTCTTCCTGTTCAAGACACGTATCAAGTTCAGTTTCAATTAGGCTACGATTATGAAAAGTCTGCGTCGACGGCTCATCTGATTGAAGACTTGCCAACCTAAGCCGTAACTCCTTAACTTTCTTGGGGACCTGGCCACCCTTTTCGGCAGACCAGCGTGACAAGTTGCTGGCACAGTTGTCAATATTAGAAAGGGGTGACACTGCATTCTGCCAAGAATGACGAACAACCTCTTCACAGTCAACTTCCTTAGTCCATACCTCCTCAAACTGAAACCGACGACGACCTCTAGGACCTCTAGCTTTGTCACCATGTGGACCGTCAGATGCAATGAGAATTGGATGGTGGTCAGAGGAGAAAGCAACTAAATGATGGGACGTGAAATTGCCCCAGTGCTGCAGAAGTGCCAAATTTCCAAACCCTCTATCCAATCGAGCCTCCACATGAGCTGTATCCTTCCGTTTATTGCTCCATGTAAATGGATAACCTGTAAACTCAAACTGAAACAAACAACAATCTGTAATGGCCATTTTAAAATCCTCCATCTGTGCATCACGTCTCAACCGGCTCCCACTCTTTTCATTGCATTCCATTACTTCATTGAAATCCCCACAACATAGCCAGGGTCCAAGATCCACTCTACCCAAACGCCGCAGAAGCTCCCAAGAATGATGGCGCTGGGTTTGGTCAGGATGACCATAAAAACCTGTCACACGAAAAGTCGCAGAAGTATTCATAGTAAC